TTTCATCTTTCTTTACTGCTGAATAGAACTCCATTGTGTAAATATACCACATTTTTGTTAACCACTTGTCAGTTGAGGGACACTTAGGTTGCTTCCATCTCTTAGCTATTGTGAAAAGAGCAGCAACAAACATAGTCGTATAAGTATCTGTACAATAAGATGACTCCTTTGGGTATTTGCCAAGCAGTGGTATAATTGGGTCATATGGTAGGTTCATTTTTAGCTTTTTTTAAGAGTTCTCCACACTGTAGCAGAGAGTCCACCTAAGGATACCACTCCCCTTTCCCCATATCCTCTCCGACATTTGGTATCATTTGTTCTCTTGATCTTAGCCAGTCTGACTGGGGAAAGTTGGAATCTTAAAGTGGTTTTAATTTGCATTTCCCTAATTACTAACGATGTTGAACACTTTTTAAGATGTTTCTTAGCCATCTTTATTTCTTCCTTTGAGACCTCTCTGTTTAGATCTTTAGCCCATCTTTTCATTGGGTCATTTGGTTTCTCGAGTCTTTGTTTTTTGAATTCTTTACATATTCTGGATGTTAAACCTCTGTCAGATGTGTCACTAGTGAAGATGTTTTCCCATTCTATGGGTTTCCTCTTCACTTTTTTATCGTTTCTTTTGCTATACAGAACTTCTTAGTTTAATGAGGTCCCGCTTGTGATTGCTGACCTTAATTCCTGAGCAATTTCTGTCTCCTCCATTGTGTGTTCTTGGCACCTTTGTCAAATATCAGGTGGCTGAAATTGCGTGTACTCAGGTTTGGATCATCAATTATGTTCCATTGATCTATGTGTCTGTTTTGGAGCCAGTACCATGCTGTTTTTATGACTATGGCTCTGTAGTATACTTTGAGATCTGGTATAGTATCCCTCCAGCGTTGCTCTTTGTGCTCAGGGTTGCTTTGGCTATTCAGGGTCTTTTGTGCCTCGATATGAATTTAATGATGCATTTTTCTAATTCTGTGAAGTATGTCACAGGGATTTTGATTGGGATTGCATTGAATCTATATATTGCTTTTGGTAGTGTGCTGGATAGTTTTAGTGTCAACTTGACACACCTGGGTTGAGGGAGCCTCAATTGGGGAATTGCCTTCATTGGACCGGCCTGTGGCCATGTCCATGGGGCATCTTCTTGGTGGTCGAGTGATGTGGGAGGGCCCAGCCCACTGCGGGTGCCACCACCCCTGGTCAAGCAGGCCTGTGTTGCATAAGAAAGCAGGCTGAGCATGGACCAGGAGAGCAAGCCCATAAGCAATGTTCCTCCATGGCCTGTGTTCCAGCTCCTGCCTCTAGGTTCCTACCCTGAGTTCCTACCTTGGGCTCCCTGATGAACTGTGACCCGGGAGATGTAAGATAAATAAACCCTTTCCTCCCCAAGTTGGTAGTGGTCAGAGTGGTTTGTCACAGCAGTGAAGAAACAAACTAGGACAGGTAGGATGGTCATTTTAGCAATACTAATTCTTCCAATCCATGAACATGGGAAGTCCTTCCGTCTCCTGGTGTCTTCCTCAATCTCTTTAATGATTTAAAATTTTCATTGTAGAGATCTTTGGTGTCTTTTGTTAGATTTATTCCAAGATACTTTAATGTTTTTGCACCAATTGTGAGTGGGAACATTTCCT